CCTACCTGGGGATTGAATAGCAGAGGAGGTGGTCTGCTTGACCTGCCAACTCTGAGTGACTGGAGGGGGTGGGGCATGTCCACAGAGGATGATGGGGGTGCCTCACGTGATGTTGCAGGCTCCTTGCCCACCAGGTGCCAACATGACATTCATAGTTCACCTCCTGCAACTGCTCACCCTCATAGCTTCCCTGTCCTGGGTCAGCCAGTGCAGAACTGTCCTGGCTGCCTTGTTGATGCCCCCCGCCCACTCCTGCATGGACCCAGTTCATGTTCCCAGTGCACACATGTGCTATTTCTGGGGTGTTGACATTGGCCAGCCTGCCAGATGGTAAACAGGGCTATGTCCTGATGCAAAGACTTCTAGAATACCCCTTCTTCCTGGGTACGGAAGTCCAGATATTAGCTGGGAACATGACCTCCAGGATGAGAACATCTCCTAGCCTTCCTTGGTGCTAGAAGTACCCAAGGAACTCAGTTTTAGCCAAGAGGAGTGTAAGCAATTGTGGTATGTGGATATCTAGGAAGTGTCCTTAAAAAGGTGGGGCTGCAGTTGTAGAGAGCATGCCTGCATGCCTTTCCACTATCCTGTTCTCCTCCCTGCTGGCTGGAAAACAGACGTGATGGCTGGAGCTCAACAGCCCTTTTGCACCATGAGGCAGAAGGTCTGTTTGGGGATTGATGGGGCAACTACATTCAGAGGTCTGGGGCACCGATGGTTGTGAGGCATCTTCTCAGTTCTCCCACCTACCTGGATGTGAACATATGATATTAAAAGTAAACACTGATCTTGTTTAAGCTACTTGTTATTTAGGGTTTTTTGCCACTAGCAACCAAATCAAATTGGATGATATCTCTAGAGCCAAGCACGTTGCCTGACATTGAAATAAAGATTTGTTGAATAAATAAATAATGGATTCCATGTTTACATGGATGGAGCTAGAACATACTCTTCTTAGCAAAGTATCTCAAGAATGGAAGAAAAGGTATCCAATGTACTCGGTCTTACTATGAAACCAATTTATAGCTTTCTTATGTAAAGCTATAACCCAATGATAGCCCAAGAAGAAGAGGAAAGGGGAGAGGGAGGGAAGGGGAGAGTAATTGGTGGGACCACACCAGCAGTGCATCTTACAAGCGTACATGTGAAATTTACTAGGTGTAGAATATAAATGTCTTAACACAATAACCAAGAAAATGATGCGAAGGCTATGTTGACCAGTTTGATGAAAGCATTTCAGCCCATGATTGCATTAATGTACACAGCTATGATTTAATAAATACATAATCCATATAACTTGGAAAAATAAATAAATAATGGATTCCAGGCTTTGAAGATGAGATGAAATTTTATGAGAAAGGAGAAGACACCGTATCAGGCAGCAAACCTGAGGCTTGGTGTGGGACCCAGACGGCCGTGCCCCTTGGATATGAAGACACCACCCTCACATCACACCTGCTGCCCTCTGTCTCAGGGATGGAGGGTGACCAGGTTCTGCTGTGTCCAGGAAGGGTGCCAAACTCACTCTTCACTGAATGATGCCATTAGCACAGAATGCTCAAACACGGTTTTCAATGGGTTTTTTATTCTTCTACCTTGCTTTTCTACCTCCCTTCTTTTTTTACCACTCCTGCTTGGCATTAAATACCTTGGGAGGCTGTTATGGGTATCTTGTTGGAGTTGATTCTTCTAAGAGCCTGTGATGGTGTGGATCATTTTGAATGGTTAAGGGAGAGGGGCTTGCCTTAGTCAGACCCCTGCCACATGCTGGGACTGTGGTAGACCCTCTCCAGAGATTCTTTCCTATGTGTCCCTCTTGGGACACTTGCCCCCGTAACAGTGATAAGAAGATGGCCGCCACATGCCCCCACACCTTATGCTCCCGGTTTGCCCAGTCCTTTACCAGCTTCACTCTAAGGTGGGCTTGTGAGTGCTGTGACCTTAGTTGGCTCCCACATCACTACTTTGGGGAACAAGCTCAGAGAAGATGTGTCACCTACTCAACATCATACAGAAAAACAGGGGTAGGTATTGTGTTAGGATGAAAGTTTTTGCCACCCCTTCCCCCCCAGCTTTTTCAAGATATCAGTGGAAGGCTGGGTTACACAGGAACATGTGAGAAGCGAGCCCGTCTGAGTGAGCTAAGGTGTGGGCTCACTCGCTCACCATGTGCCCCCCAGGAGCAGTACCAGTACTGGGACTCCAGAGTGTGAGGGATGTACATACTTCTGAGGCCTACTCAGTGGCCCAGTGGGTAGGACACACCTAACAAAATCATGGTCCAATTTCGATGCACAGGGCCCAAGTCAGCTAGGATTGCCCAATGAGACCTAACCAGACAGCCCTTTGGGGGTGTGGGGGCTTGTTCTCCTTGTGGTAATGAGTCCAGGGGTGTACTATCAGGGTACACTGTGTAGTTGCTCTCCTCCTCTTGGGACCCTGTCCCTTGCTGGTCCTTGAGATGCCATACTCACGTTCCAAGCTGGCATGATGGGACAAAAGGACCATGAGCAAGGGGGGGGGCAGTCAGTCACATCCATCCCCCTGAGGGGTTGGGAGACTCCTGTGGTCATCCTTGTGTCAAGGCCAGTCGTGGCTGCCAGTAAGGCTGGGTATGTTGCTGCTGTGAGCAGAATTGGGGTTCTGTTGGTAAAAGACAAAGGAGGACTGGGTGATGGTGAAATCAGATGCTTGGCTAGACTTGATGGGCAAGTCCACTGATGAGCATCTGTAGGCCTTGCTGGGAGCAGAATATTCGCTACAGAGCAGCATGGGAGGAGCAAACACCTTCTCTCGTCCTGGTAGCAGTTGGGGGTGGGGCAAGGGATGGCGTCCTGGGAAGGTAACATTGGGCCCAGGCTTCAGAGGATGGAAAGGAAGGGTGGAAGGGCAGGGAACTCAGTGTGGATCCATAGTCTGACAGTTTGACCTGGAAATTAACCTAATCATGGCGAAGCCCATGCTGGTTTTTGCAGTCAGAGTGAGCATTTTGGGGGGCAGCTTTAGCAGGTGCCTAGGAATCATTTCCAATCCTGTTGATCCCACCCCGGCTGGAACCTGAATGATAGATCCAAACTGGGGGCTCCCAGCTGAAGGTTGGGCAATCCCTGCCCTCTCAGGTAACAGAGCCCAGTTTGGGGGACCAGTTCCAGTTACTGGCCCTGTTTGCCTTAGTTCTTAGCCTAGAAGTGGGGCCAGAACTCTTCCCTGGGAATCCCTGTTTTGGGAGGAAAACAGAGCCCAGAGCTGCTGAGATCATGGGACGACACCACTCAGGGAACAGCAGATATAAGACTGGCAAGGGGAACGCTGAGTCAAGGCCTAGGCCCTGCCCAGGCTGCCAGAGACATCCTATGGCCCTTCCCCTTCTCCATCAGGCTCCTGCCTCTCTATGGAGAGGCTCATCTTCCCTGCTTCCCTGGGAAGTACAAGGTGAGCCTGCTCCTGATTTGGGAGGAACCAAAAGGTCCTGGCCCCTCTTCTGGTGGGCCTCTGCCTGTGATAGACCACTGCTCCTTAAAGCCCCAGGCATCATGTTCGAAGCATCATTTGGAGGTGGTCTGTTCTGGGGGAAGAGTCAGAAGCCTGTCCACATCCTGGCTTGGCTGTGAGATGAGCACATACCACTGGACCCTGAGACTAGGATGAGGTTCAAGTACAGGAGAGCAAGAAGCTCAGGCCAGCAACAGCACAGGTTGACCTGTGCCAGGCACCCTGGCCTGTTTGCATCCCCTCTTCCCTCCTGGGTTTATCACATGCTGACCCTGGGCACACACTCATGCCAGTGGACACTCTCTTCCACATTCCCACCTGCTGCACACATGCACTGGCACACTTGAACCTGGTGTCCACGTATACAACCTCGTGCCCCCACCAATCTGCACCAGCACACACTCACACAGCAGTACACAGCATCTGGAAGCGCACCCTTGTTCACGTGTACACAGCACTTGTTCATGTTCTCACACCTGTGCCTGCACACAGGCACATCTTTGGGCTGCAGAGAATCCCAGTCCTCCCATGGAAATGTATGTGGTGACAATCCCATTTGTATCCCTTCAGGTGGTGATTAGGGGAAGGAGGTGGAAAGCAGGGTTAAAATCTAGGGCCACAAGCCTGCAAAAACAGTCCCCAGGTGAGAGCAGCAGAGAAGACCTCCAGTATTCAGCTTGTGGCAATGGGCACACCTGCTTGCTCTCCTGCCTGGGCATGGCTCCTGGTTCAGCTGTGAGGAAACAGGCTGAGAGGTGCCCTGGCTGGCCAAGTCCACTGTCAGGAGTCCCTCTGGGAGCTCAGCGCCCACAGGCCCCGGGAGGGTCTTCCAAAAGGGAAGTTCTTATTTCTTCTCCGGATGCTTCAGGAGGGAGCCGTAACTTCGCGGGGTGGGGGTGGGGGGGGGCGGGAAGGTCCCTCAAAGTCTTGAGCCTCAGTTTCCTCATCTATAAGGTGAGGACGCCTGAATTCCTGGGGAGCCTTCCAGCTCCCAGCCCGTGTGAGTCCCTACGCGGAGCCCGTGCCAGCCTGCGCCGGGGTGACAACGCGGCACCGCATCACCGACAGGGCTGAGGCCACGGGCTTGACGCTCAGCCCGGCGGCCACCTGGCCCTGGAGAATCCGCCGGGGCCCCGGCTTCTCAGACTTCATTCGGGACCGGGGCCTGCGTTCGGGGTGAAGGCAGAGCCCATTCGTGAGCGCTTCCGAGCTGGGTCTCTACCAGCACTTAGTACCCCGTGTCCACATCCCCTTCGTCGTCAACCCGGTTAAACAGACGCGGAGACCGAGAAACCGGCCGGGTAGTCTGGGAGGCGAGAAGGTGGGGCCGCGGGCGGGCGCCCGTCCCAGAAGCCTCTTGGCTCAGCCGAGGCCGTTCACACCGCTTCCGGCCGCGCGGGGTACTCTGGGGCGCGTAGTCCCCGGTGCGCCCGAGGCCGGGCTGCCATTGGCTGGCGCGCGGCGCCGGCGGGGCGACGGGAGAGGCCATCACGTGATGTTTGGGTGCCTGTCGTCGCCCCTCCCGCCGTGAGCGCACGGAACGCACCCGCGAGCCACCCAGGCCCAGGTGAGGCGGCGGCAGTGGGGCAGGGTCGGGCTGGGTGGGGGCCGCGCGGGGACGGGGCGGCCGGTCGGGGTCGCGTAAGCCGAGGCCAGGTGGTGGGAGAGGGCGCAGCGCGGCGGGAGGGGCTGGCGGGAGACCCTGCGGGGGGCGGGGCCGCGCTCTGGGGAGGGGCGGGGGCGGGGCCGCGCAGAGGGCGGGCCCAAGGGGAGAACTGGGTTCAGAGCCGCGGGCTCCGAGCCGCGGGTACCGGAGTGTGGGCGTTTGCTGGACCGGCCTCCTGTGCCCCGCGGCGGGTTCCGGGAGCGCTCCCCAGGTTCCAGGTCGGTGGGCACCTGTTTGTGTAGCGGGTGTCCGCGCCTAGAGGACAGAGCTGCCCGGGAGCGCTCCAGCGCCCACTTGTTGGGTGCCCGGGGTGGTCCGCCGCCGCTCAGCAAGCGGAACCGGCCCTCAAGCCTGAGCTGGAGACTCTCACCCCGAGCGCTTTCGCCTCTGCGCCTTTCCTCCCCTTCTCCAAGTTGTAAAAACGTGCCTCTTGGAAACCCGGGGCCAGAGACATTCCCCTGGAAGCTTCCCGGTGACCCTGATCTGTGCGGCTCCGGTGGAAACTCTTCAGGGGCCTCCTGTTTGTTGACGGGCGTCTCACTGCTACCCTGACCCGTGGAGCTTCGTCTGCAATGTCCAGTACGGTAGCCACTAGGTACTCGTGGCTGTTTAAATTGACCTTAAAATGAAGGAGTCAGGTCTTCATTCCAATAGCGATATTTCAAGCGCTTAAAAACCAAACGTGGCTGGTGGCTACTGTGTGGGACAGCGCAGATACTGAACGCTGTGGTCACTAAGAAAGTTCTGTGGGCTAGAGTGCTGCTCTTTTGCCTTCTAGTCCTGCCAGGTGACATTCCAGCCACACCTGGCACCCTTTCCTCCCTTACCTGCAGCTTGCCTACTTTCTCCTCTTTGTTCCTGGCCTGGATGGCAGTCGTCCTCCTCTAGGTCTGAGCTCACCTGTTAGGGGCTCACCATCCTGACCTCTCTCTCCTGGTGTTTCCTGTCTCAGGTTTTGTCTTATTTCCTTCCTAGCACTTCACTTTTGTCATTGCCACTTCTCTGCTAGTTTTCTGTTTTATCTTCAGCGTCTGTGAGGCAGGGATTTGGGTTGCTGCTTGACACCCCCCACCCCCCCAAGGTGGATGCAGATGAAGTTCGTTAGTACTGGAGAGCTTCAGCTGGTTAAACAGTACTTTAGTGTGATTTGGCCTCATACGTTGTAGGTCCTCAGTAGAAATCTGGTGCAGAACATGCTTGGACACGGGGCAGCACAGGATCAGGAGCCAGGTTGTGATTAGAGCTGGCTGGGGGAGGCTGGCAAATCCAAGAAGGCTTCCTGGAGGAGGTTGAGCTTTAGCTGGGTTACTTTCCTCCTTACCTGTCCGCTGCTAGCCTGGCTCCGTGAACAGCTGCCGCTTGAGGCTGCACTGACTTTGTCTGAGCAGCCTTCCCTGGGTCAGCCTCTAGACACAGGCCCTTGATCTGGGGTTTACAGGCTTGTGGGCAGCCAGGTGTCCTTAGGTCCCTTCCATAGTTCCCTTCTGCTTGCATGCTGAAGGCTGGGATCTGGCTCTGCCTATGGCCTCAGCTATGTCTTCTGGTCCTTGCTTTATGTGCCCACAGTGCAGACACCCTGTCTCCTGCATGCTCCACAGCTTTCCGCATCAGCATGTGTGTGACCATGCCAAGTGTTCTGCTTGGAATGTCCCTGTTCTTCAGGTTATTCCCCACGCCCACTTGCCAGTCCCTGAAGTGAAGGCATTTCTGCCTTGGTCATCCTGTGTCTTGAACACCCAGCCCCATGTGTAGAGCAGAGTAGGCACTCAGCCAGTTTTGATGGGTGAAAGTGGTTGTATACAGCAGCAAGGAGAATGCAGTAAAAAGTGCAGGTGTGGACGTTTATGACTTGGGGAAGCTGGAAACAGGAGGTGGGGATTCACCTTCTAGGTTGGGAGAAATGCTCACAAACCTGACCACGGTGTGTCAGGCCATTAGCAACAAGGCCCTGAGGAAGGGGTTGAAGCTAGGCGAGGTGGCACGGCAGGGCCTGGTTAGCCAGTAGGGATAGTTGTGTCCTGCAGGTGATGGCACTAATACTATTAGCCCACCTGATGCCAGGCGACCGGTAACTCATAAACCTGCACAGTAATCCCAGGAGGAGAACCTGTTATTATCTCTGTTTCCCAGATGAAGAGGCTGAGGCACAGAATGGTGACTTCTGTAAATGGCGAGTGCTAAGATGCGTTCCTCCAGCCCCAGATGTACGTGCTGCTGCTGGGGAGTCGGGGCATTTTATTGCTGTGAATGGTGTTTGGGAACAATCACAGTGTGTGAACAGTTAGCTAAGGCTGAGGCTTGCTTTTCTTAATGCACACAGGCATATCTGTGGCTACTGGGTTGGTTTTTTTGGTCATGTTATTTGCTACACAGGTGGGTTTTGACCTTTGTGGCTCAGTCCGGTTGTCATTCTTATGTTTTTTAAAGTCTGATTTTGTGCCCTGTCAATGATAATGGACTTGTTAGCACTCTGAAGGAAGATCCCTCAGGTTCAGGGGTGGGCTTCCTCTCCTCTCCTCTAATCTGCTCTGCTCTGCCCTGTCCTGCCCTCCCCTCTCCTCCCTTCCCCTCCCCTTCTTTCACCTTGTCACCCATTGGTAGAGGACTGTGGCATCATAGCTCACAGCAACGTCAAACTCCTGGGCTGAAGTGATTTACTTGCCTCAGCCTCCTGAGTAGCTGGGACTATAGGCACCCACCACAGTGCCTGGCTATTTTTTAGAAATGGGATCTTGCTCTTGCTCAGGCTGATCTTGAACTTGTGAGCTCAAGCAATCAATCCACATCCCTCAGCCTCCAAGAGTGCTAGGATTACAGGTGTGAGCCACTGCACTCGACTCTAGGTACAGCACTTTCTGCTGCAATGCTCAGCACTGACCAGCTCCCAGCAGTCTGCTGGACCTATGCATGGGGAGCGGGTACCTCAGAGACAGTGGAGAGAAGGAGTGAGCAGGAAAGTGGAAGACATGTGGCTTGTGCTGTCTTCTCTGGGGATGTCACCTTCGTTTGTTCAGTGTCAGTTCTTACGTGTGGCTTTTTTGTTCTGTACTTGAAGCATCCTTATCCTATCCCAGCTGGGTACATTGAGACAGCAGTGGGTATTGTCATTCCTGGTTCTTAGGTGAGGAGCGTGAGGCTGTGCGGTCACTTCTCTCCTTCCCATGTGCTGCCCCACCCCTGGAGGAGCCCCAGCTCTGCATGTCCAGCTGTGGCCCAGAGCCTGAGAGTGGATGCCTGGTATATGTTTGTTAAGACATGAGGGGTCATGACAGCTGACCTGAGCTTGGCTGTTCTGCTTGCTCATGCCCTCTGTTAGTGCTGTGTTTTGGAGCCAGTGGAAGCTCCGAGGCAGAGTCCTCTTGGCCCAAGTCCTCTGGCACAGAAGAACTCCAACAAGGACAAGCCAGGTCCCCTGGACTGTTTTCTGAAGATGCAACATGGCAGAGTGTCTTTGCCTGTGGAGCTGTGCTGGGGTAGTAGCTCCTGGGGAGGCCTCCCTTCAAGGTGCCCTGTCTGCCACCCAGTGCCATCCTCATACCTGTCACAGCCCTTCTACCCAGCCTCATCCCAGCTCGAGATTTGCTCATCAGCTTGACGTTTACTGAGTCTAGGGCAGGGGTGAGAGTGACACTGGGCAAAGCCCTTCCCTGCCTTTTGGTACACCCCAGGCTTGGGCGGACCCCCTCAGGACTTGAATCAGCTTGGTGGCTGCTGCAGACAACCCGGGCAGTCTACTGGGGTGGAGTTCCTGGGTGGACAGGGCTGCTGGCAGGGCTGCCCTGAGATGTGGAATGTTCTGTGAGGACATGCTCAGGCCAGCAGGCAGGATGAGGACTGCTCTGCAGGCTTTTCTGGCCTTGCCAGGGACACTGCCATCACCTTACACAGTGGGGTCATAATGAGTGGTCAGGAATGGGACAGAGAGGGGTGCTGAGCCCAGGCCATGTGTGGCTGTGGGCAGAGCTGGGCTCTCAGTAGATATCTAGGAAGAGATCCTGAGTTCTAGGGAGGCTTGAGCTGCACCTAGAGAACCTGGAGGGGGGACTGGGGGTGGGTAAGAGCGGCTGCTCCAGCCAGTGGGAGACCAGGAAAGGCACAGCTCTGTGGAGGGCCTTGAAAGGGTCCCGAGCTGCCGTGCTGAAGCAGGATGGGGATGACTGGACATGTAGAGTGGAGCAAGGTTCTGGGGACTGGCCTCACACCCAGGGCTACGGTTGGAGCCCGCAGGGGCCAGGCCTACCTGGGCCCCATGCCACAACATCATGTGGCTGGGTGCTTGTAGTGGCAGCAGTGCTGTCAGCCCCTCCTTGTATTGATGGGCTAGTAAGGCAGCTGACTGCCCAGACTGGTGGCAGTGGCTACTAGTTAACTGGTAACCTTGGGCTCTAGCTATAGGAGAGAGTGGCCCTCTTTGGTGTGGAAGTGACAGTACAGAGCCAGGTAGTCATGCTGGCCATGGGTGTCCCTGGCTGGGTTCTCCAGCCCAATAAGCCTTTATTTTTTTTTTTTTCTACTGGATTGATGGAAGATTGTCATATTTTCTGCCTCTGATTTCCCTTGAGGGAAGGCCCGGGCCCCAGACCTGATTTACATAGTGTCCAGGTGTGGACACAGCCTGGCTGCATTTCTGCTGTGGGATCCTGGCGCATGTCACTTAGCAGCCTGTCCTGAGCCCTCACCTTTTGTGGCATGAGTCTGATCCTGTAGCTTCCTCAGAGGTCGTGGCATTGTGTCCATCTCAGAAACACAGAAGCTCAGGGCCCTTTGGGAGGGCTATCACCAGAGGGGCACAGGGAAGAGTTTCCAAAGCATAAAATGGGGAATGTGGTAGGTGAGGGGCTAGAGTCCTTCTGAGACCCTTGGGCTGCCTCGTGCTCCAGAGACTTGCTTTTAGGTGGGTC